GCACTAGAGTGGAACCCACAGGGGAAGCGAAAGAGAGGGAGACCCCAAAACAGCTGGAGGCGCACGAGAATGGCAGAGTTGGCGGCGAAGCATGTTACATGGAATGAGGCAAAAGGCACTGCACAAAATAGGGTTAGGTGGCGCGCGCTAGTTGAGGACCTATGTTCCACTTAGGAATGAAGAGGATTAAGTAAGTAAGTATTCGCAGTGACTGTTTCAGTTTGCCAAATGGCTTTTCATCTTCCTAATCAAGTCAGGAGGAGCATTGTTCAGATGATGTCATGCAAGTCACTCACTGGCGGCAGATCTAGGGTACACGCCTGAAGCCTGAGAGGTCAGCCCTCTCTTAATGCTAAAAAATGTAGAGGTTTAACACTGCGTTGCACACACGCTCATGTCTGAAGGGCCACTGTGCAGTGATTGTTAGATAAAGCTAAAAAGGGGTCGGTCTATAATTGTCTTCAATCTCTGGGGTAAAAAACAAAACCCAAATCCGTGGTATCATTTGAGTGTTATATGCTTACTTTACACTCAGGATTTTCCTGGTCTTTGTACTTCTCAAGCAATCCATCCACTTTTGATCTGTCCAGGGTAACCCTAAAGTTGAAATCTCCCAACCAAAACACTCGGTCAAAATTGGCTGTCAAATCCAGTTCTAAAATGAAACACAGCAGAAGTATAATGTATTAAGGAATGGCAAGAAACCTTGGAAAAACAGACATTCATTTTGTGGAAAAGCTGCTAAGGAAGGCACAGCTGTACTTGCAGCCAGTATGAGGCAAACTGGGGCACTTGCTTCAGTCATTTTTTTTGGTTTTTGTTGTTCATCTTTTTGAAGGGGCAAAGTACAACACACTCTTATGTGTCATGTGAAATTTTCTAAACAAACAGCACTTGTGTAATAATATTGTAAAACAGACAACAGTCCTTCTTTAAATACTAGGATCTTTGATCTGCAATGTGTGCAAACTCGTACAAAAAAGGATCATGTTATTCTACTGACCATTGTTTCCGCTGGGCTGACCCTCAGGTGATAATGACAGAGACTTGCAGATTGTCTTGTAATCACTTACACGGTCCATAGCTTTGCCTTCATCAGCTGCAAGACAAGCGACAAAATGCATGCTTAAGACTTGAAACTAACTTCCAATGATAATTCAGGCAGGAGAGTATCACATTTTATTATAACAGACTCCTAAATGCCAGGGCATTGAAGCAGGGAATCAGAAGGCTGCATAAGAATTAAAGAAATCAAAAGCAGTGGCCTTGATAAATATAAATATTAGGGAAAGGTTTGTGCTTGAACCTGGCCAGTGTTTATCTTCAGTTCCTTAGCATGAAGCGACTAGGGGTATTTTAACTTGCTGTTAAGTTGCCAGTACCCATTTGTACACCTGGGTGGAGACTGGAGGCACTGTGAGAGTAAATTGCCTTGCCCGAGGACACAACACAATGATACAGGCATAGTACACTCTTGACTTAGCAGATAGACACTAATTAAATAAATGTGTATTTTGTACGACTTGACAGATATACAATCTTTTCCTATTTTATAGTTAAATCTTAATTAAAATACCTACAACCTCAAAATTTCATGAGAACTACAACATTTGGTTACTGTAGATGCTTGTCTGAACAGTTCATCAGCATTTGTTCATTTCCTCAACTCTGTAAAAGTATGCCTCCCTATCATCACTTTTTGTCAGGATTAAGATATCATTCACAATTTTGTTCCCGATAACATTTGTCCAAACTAAAAAGGAGAACTTACAAGTAAAGTGAGAGTCAATGAAGAGGAATGATGTTCCAAATATGCTGAAGGACACAGCCAAAGCTCCCTGTAGCGAGAGGAAAACACATCTCAACACAATCTGTAAACATACTATAATTTTTGCTATATACTTAAACCTTGTAGTTTTGCTGTTGGTGAGTTTTGTGTAACTATTGTAAACATACAGAGACAAATAGCAGAAACAAATATTTTCTCCATTTTCCAAAAAAAAAGTATGCAGATCACTAAGCATGGATTTACAAAGACAAAAATAAACAGTCATGCCAATTTTACCTTAGTTTTAATCATATGACCCACTCTAGTAGATACACTATCTTCACTCACAGCTGCAATAAAAAGAAAAAAGAAAAATATTTAGAATGTCGTATCTGCCTCAAGTTAAATGTCCCGATAAACCTCAGCCTCTTCGTTGGACTGGCCTTAACATGGGGCAGTACAACCACAGCTGGTTGATTTTCAAAACAGGTCAATGAACTACATACATGTAGTAATGACCGATAAAAGAGTTGATTCATGCTGGCAGTAAGTTGTTTCTCTGATTGTGGTTCTTACAAAAAAAATCAGAGCTAAATTAATATCATCCGATAACATAACAATTTATTGTTGGCAGATACTGCCTCTGAAAACTCAAATTGTAAATAGGTCCTCTGACTAAGTTAATTTGTCTATAATGGAAATAGAGCTAAACTTTTTTCATTACTTAAAGGAGTGGTCATGCAATTTTTTACTGGCATGACAGTACAGGGGCATTATAAAAGCTAAGGCAGTGTTATTAATCAGGAGAAAATAATTTCCCAGAAATTGGTTAGCACATGCTATAAGCCAACAATATTTCAAAATGACTTATCCCAGTTCATTGCATTGTTGTGAATTTATAATTCTGAGTGCCTGTTTTCTGTTCTTATGTTCAAAACACTTTTTGAAGACTTAAGCATCTCTTGTTTCCCTTCAGTTTCACAGTGTGTTCCTTTGCTTTAATCAAATTTGAAGCAAATTAAGATGGTTAATTAAAACTCCCAGACTAAGAAGACAACACTTACGAGAACAAAACCAGACAAGTTCTCTCCTGATAAACAGTGCCAGGTGTAACAACCCAAAAGAACAGGAATACATCAGCACATGCGATGGACCAAGAGTTTCTTGAAGACGGATCTCCCACTCTTTTCTGTTGAAACAATTTTGAGATTAAATTTTGAGGTTAAATTTTGATCCACAGTTGCATCTGGACATGTTGTAATAACTGGAAAAAACATGTAAATCTAGGCTGCGTTCCTTTGGGGTGATCTGGATCAGGATCAGTGATCCAAGATCTGTCTGGATCATGGTGCATCAAAGAAAGCGATGAATCCATAACCAGAATGGATTCATCAGTTCTTTTGATGCACCACGATCCAGACAGATCTTGGATGACTGATCCTGATCCAGATCGCCCCAAAGGAACGCACCCCTAGGCTCTTTTACGTTATGAATCAAATTTAACTTCTCTCAATTTATACTTTCCAGCTCACTCTGGAATATTTCATGAATTATGAAAATTAACACTCTTAGAAATTATAGTTTTTGCCAGTAAGTAAAGTGTAATTAGGGTTTCAAGACCCAAAGACCAGAGTCTACAAGACTTTTTAATGCCTAAATATTTCAAAATTAATGAAGCCACAGAGATTTAGGGAGGTAAGTTTGATTCCAGGATTCTGGCAAGATTGAAGGAAGTATTTTATACAGTATACCGTTCATAACTTACAACCACTCTTTATATTGCAGCAAACTGATGTTATTAGAAAACAATAATATTTACCTTTGAGATGTACTCTCTTGGGAGCCAATAACATAGAGGTCTTGTAAGAAATCAGTTGAATCTGGTATTAAAAAATCTTCTAAGTAGAATGGAACTTCCTGTTACAAAATGAAACAAAAGTTATTAAAATAATTAATAGAGGGATCAATACAGAGTACTACATTAAATGCTAACATAAGCTTTGCATTTCTTTAGAGTTATAGACACACAGCTTTCAATGTGTACATTCTCACAAAATGTTTGCTAAAGTTATATGAAGAGTGACCATTTTCAGTTATAGGAGGGCCAAAATCTTACCTTTTCTTCATGCATATTCCAGGTAGCAACAAAAATGCCAATTTGCCTGTCAGGGAAGTAACGCTCCATTTCCTCCTTTAAAAAGTTACCACTCCTTGTCCGTGCTCTTCTTGCAGACACACGTGGAAGCAAGGTTGATGTAGAGAAACCAGACGCCTGTCCTGTTGATCTAAAAGACAAGTCTGTGTCTGACGCATACGTTTCATCGTCAGTGACTACCTTCTCCAGTGCCCTGCTGAGCTGCCTTAAATCAGAAGTTGAATTATGTTGGAGATCATCTTGGATTCCTTCAGTCTGATACACACCTTGATTCTGATATACTGGTATACCTTGATTCTGATATATACCTTCATTTGGAGGTACACTGTCATACAAACCAGATGAATTTGTCACAACACCTTGGTCATTAAGTTCACCAGTTTGCACTGATGGGATATCATTTTGGTTTCTTTCACTTGGATGCACAGATTCATACAACCCAGATGCATTAGTTCCAAGAGTTCTGTCATTAAGTTGACAAGGTAGGGTAGGTAAAGTCGAATTAGGGTCTCTTTGGATGGGCTTACGCTGATTTTTAGACTCTGCATCACTGTTGCTTATTGAATTTTCTTCGCTGTCGCTAACACTTGTCAAACTGTCATTTGAGGAAGATAATGTAACTTCATCCTCAGCAGGAGGTTCATCATACAATACAGATGTCGTCTTCGAATTAGATTTAATGGGTGTTGAGCCTGTCTGTGTCGAGATGTCTGCTTGCTGCTGTTCTACCCTCAAAGGGTGAACAACATTCTTTTTCAACATCTTCTTACCCAAATCCTCGTTTTTCGCACTATTCTGGTAAGATTTAAAGTTTTTAAGAAGTTCCTTATTGGAACCTATATCTTTAAGAGGTTCAATACCCCTAAGATTACGATTAGCACCTCTATGCCCATCGCGAGGACTTCCAAAAGATTCACTGGAACCGATGCTGTCCAAACTACCTGTGCTCCCACTGCGCTTCAGAGGCAACGGATCCAGCATCACATTCAGAACATGTTTACGACTTCTCCTTTCATCTTCTGAGCCAGATGGAGAAGTCCTTGGCGACTCGTAACGACTTCTTTTGATGCCTTTCGAATTTAACGCCGCGACACGCGGATTCCCTTCCGCCGTTCCTGAATTCGAACGAGGAGAAGACGGAGGATGTGGCACAAATTTCACGTTTTGAGCATCTCCTTCTCTAACTAACAACGGTGTATCTTTTTTACTCTCAACAGCTCTATTCGACGACGAATCGAGTCGATTTCCGGCTGATTGTGATCGCCTTTGCTGAAGAAGTTTAGGCCGGTCAAAGGACTGCTGCATAGCTGTCGTGCGAAGATTGTGGTTGAAAAACGAGTAATTCCCACCATCAGCCATGATGATTCAATGTTACATGCATCTTATACTCCTTTTCGATGAAGAATTTTTATAACAGGGGAAAAGAGCACGAATATTATATAAAAATTAAAATCTGTTTTTCATCCGCCATATTGTTTATTCGCTATGGTGATCGATGGTGATCATGGGCTTTGCCAACTACATATCTGTGTGGGAGGAGTAGGTAAAGGTGACCAGGGGGGTGAGTATTTAGCAGTTTTGGAATGCAATTTTGCCCAGGTTTCGAACACAACCTAAATGAACCCACAACACTTGTATGATGATACATAACAATGTACCTTGATTGCGCAAGAAACAGAAATGTGTTACTTATCGGCCGTACCACGCACTACCTCTTCTACCACTCCCCTAAAAAAAATGCGTACCTCAGCATGGGGTCGAGGCAAATGGCAAGATGGCGGACGGAAGGTCTCTGAAAAAGTTCCTGACAAAGCATCGTCATTTTGAACTTTACAAAGATGACCAGAACAGAGAAAAGGTATGCAAAGTGTTTTCAAAGATGAGTTTTAACATTTCTGTTAAATTCGGACTGACTTCTGATAGGTTTGCCATTTTCCTTCGCACGCTTGTGGGTATCAGCGACATGCGTTTGTTTGTTTAATTTCTAGCGTTTACTATTTCATTCTTAGCGAATGAGTGGTGCCATTGAACTTGTTATTAGACTTCCAGTATGCAGAAGTTGAGACAAGAATAATCATCATCTTCAAGATATGTAACTAAAGACTGAAGATAAATATTAAAGAGGGAACTTTTAACACGAAAGAGCGGATCATGTTTGCTGAAGGCATCCGCAAGCGTCGAATGTCGATCAATAATAATAATACTACTAATAAAAAACTTTATTTAAGTGTCTTACAGCTTTAGATACATATGAGTTGGTGGACACTCTGCCAACTATCGACTAACTGTCTATCAGGTGTCAATCGAGGGTCTATCGAGATGTCAATCCAGTGTCAATCTAGTGTCAACCGAGTATCAATCGAGATATCGATTGATTTTCAGTCAAGATGTCAATTGAGTGTTGATCAAGGGCATCAATTGACACCCAACGTCTGATGCCTTTGGTACACACACTGCTCAGTTTCAGTGAGACGACAAGATAGCTGTGAAATACAAAAAAAATCCTATTTAGTTATTCAGTGGGACATGATAGACTTTTGTAAGCTCCATGACCATGTAGAGCAATTTGAAATTATAGCGCAGTTTGTCCAGAACTTACAAGTTGAACTGGCTCTTCACACTGTGAAGCTCAAACCACACTCATGGCTTTCAGCTTCACTGCTTTAAACTTGTCATTTGTATCAGTTCTGATTTTGCTCAAAACGGATATCGATTCTTGCGTTTGTGGAATATTTTACACATTTTTGTGTTTTTTTCAGGATCGAGATGGTAAAATAGGCTATCTCCCAGATTTCACTTTTTTTTCTTCTTAACCTATTCAGCTAACACTAGTAATTCACTTCCATTCTATTGAAGGTAAAATAGGCGATCTCCCAGATTTCAATTTTTTTCTTCTTAACCTATTCAGCTAACACTAGTTATTCACTTCCATTCTATATTAGGTCAAATGTAAGTTAACTGGACATGAGTTACCTGCAAGACTCTCTGACCTTGAAAACTACATAAAGGGAAAAAAGTATCAACGATTGACGAAGGAAGTTCCAGATAAATCCCCTGGCTATGAAGAATACAAGGAATTCTTAGTACCAAGTGAAAAGAATAGGTAACTGATACATCAAAATGATTAACTGAGAACTTTTGTGAATTTTTTTGTTTCACCTTTGCATCAGTATCGTTGGTAATGTAACCTCAGTTTTAGAATAACAAGACAACTAAAGAATAACTTAAAACATGATTGCCAGTTCTTAGACCATGTTTGTGTTTTAATGTTAAATTTTATGGTCACTTGAGCATAAAAAAAAGCTATGGGAATGCTGGCTGGAGACTATACAAATACATTAATTTATGTCTTTTATGTAAATAAATATAACTATGTAAACCTGTTAACTTTCGCAATAAAATCTTAGAGAGAGAGAGAGAGAGAGAGAGAGAGAAACTGGAAAGTACACTGAGTCCTTTGTGTAGTAGTTGTTGTTGCTGTTGTTGTTGTTTGTACTCTGTGGTAGCTCCAGCTTCATGAGGAGCAAATGAAAAAAGCCTGCATGATGAACAAATTTTTGCTGCTCCTCAGAATAACACATCTGTTACATACTGTTTCAATAGAGACTGCCTCTGTAAACCAAGGCCCTTGTATTTTTTACATTTCCCGAAGTAACTTGTTGAATTGTTCTCATACAACTTTACAGGAATCAGCTTTACTGCCAGTTGACCAAGAAATACATTAACAATGCTCCTCATCACATTCAAAGACATGTCATGGGAAAGCACTTCGGCAGAGCTCTGGAGAAACGTGAGGCATAACTTTTGCTTTTGTCAAGGAAATTTTGATTTTCAAAATGTCAAGCAATGTTAAGTGAATTTTGCTTGTGTTAGATCATGAGAAACTAAACATGGAAGCTGAGGAAGCTGATGAAGACATGTGGGTGCCCTCAGATCTGGAATCAGAATCGGAACTTGAGGAGGAAGAAGAGAGCGAGAAAAAAGAGGAAGATGAAGATGATTCTGGAGGAGAATTCTCATCAGAAGGTACGTAGACTTGCTGAAAGTTCTTTCCAATATCATTTTCCCATTTGTTTTGGTTGTCTTTGCGTTCGAGATTTCATCGCTTATAACTCCTCAGAGTTGCCTAAGAGGACATTCCTTCCTTGTCATTGTTACAGCTGTTACTGTTTTGGTGTCGTCTTTATTCTACCGTTACTTGCCCATTTGTTTCTTTTGATCATCAACGAAAATTACGATGATTACGAGAAGCTCAAAACTATACCTGAGTTCTAAGACGTACAAGAAGCTCACCTATAGTCTCTTATGTATCACACACACATCCTACTTTCGCGGACATCACTGATCCCCGCAGTATGCAAGACGCGTGCCACACCTGAACGTAGTAAATACAAGTCTCTCCGTA